TTTAACTGCGCAGGACCCTTTTAATTCATTTAACTCATTTTAATTGTCTTTCAGGGGAAGCGTGCTTTCTTTGGTCAGCTTAACTGGCAGGGAATGCTGCCTGCTTGAGCACTTGCTGCCATTCAAAGAGACCTCTCATGAAAATGCATGCTTGTCCTCGCAACTCCTTCAGCAACTGTAATATTTCTCCCTTACTGTTTATGTCAGAGAGTCATTACTGGAAGCTGCTGACATTTCTGACATTCAGTAGCATCAGAGCACATTAGGTGGTCCTTAGATAATTTTTAGACAAAATTTACTTGTATCACATGTTCAGGCCATTACAAGCAACAGAAGTAATGTGCTTCCATGCAAAGATATTATCAGTCAGCACGCTCATTTTTGTGGGCCTTCCTGTATTATTCTGTAGCTGCACGATTTTAACCATGCAGTGCATAATGCATAATGCACCGTATACCCAGGCGGTACGTGCATTGTTTTTGACTTTTGTGCAAGATCAATCTCTATTAGGAAATCTATTATCATCACTTGTGTTTTACTACAATGAAATAAATAGGCAGCTGCAGTTGTTTGGCCTAATAGCTCTTAGCGTGATTGCTAGAAGTAGGAAATCAATGCAGGGTGAAGGGAAGAAACATTTTTAATAACTTACACTTCAGATATGAGATCCCCAAGTTATTACAAATTATAAGGTTAAGACCTCTTGAAAGAATCCTAGCTAGTTAAATATTTAAAACTCCTGGGTGAGAACACAGGCACTAATGAGCTTCAGGCTACTAAACACCAGAATCTAGGGGGAGACATCTTGTTTTATATTAGAAAGTATTAGTGAATATCAACTGGCCATGAGGAGTGTTTAATTAAGAATTATATTGATACGGGGAAAGCAGAGAAAGCACCGGATTGCCAAATCTACTCTTCATCACCATTAGAAGCTGGGTTTGTGTGTACAGAACAAATGTGCACAGCAGTGGCTCACGCCAGAGGCTCCGTGGTGTGGGACCTGCCCATCCCTGTGGCCTTCCCACAGCCCTGGAGATGCCAGAAACCTTCACGCAAACGTGGATGGAGCTGCCTGCTTTCTGTGTTCCCTTGAAGTGCTACAGGCTTGGTTGGGAGGAATAGCCAAATTTTGGATTTTGTGATTTCAGCAGTTCTGTTAATCCAATGATAACTGCTCACGAATGAAAACATAATGCAACGTCAGGCTGATATGCATCGTGCAATGCACCCACCCCAAAAAAGAAAAGGAGGAATCTCATAAATCATCAAATGTCTCTCCTGTGGCCTTTTAATTCAGAAATTTAAGAACATAGGAAACCTGTTAATTGTACCCAGGTGCATAAAGAGAGTTGTGATGTTGAAATTCAAATGCCGAGAAGCAAGAAAGGGAGTTGAGAAGGAAAGTGAAGACTGGTGTGACATGACTGAGCACCAGCTGATATCCGGCCTTGCTGCACAACTGTGGTAAGAGAGTTCACTGCACTGTGTGTGCACGTGTGTACGTTATGTAAAATAGCCTCTGCCTGTCTGCTCTCTGAAACAGGAGTGTGAGCGGGTAAACAGCTCTGAGCAACAGATGAAAGGCTGCTGGAGTTGAGACTCCCGGTTCAAAGGTTCCAGCACTACGTGCAGTGGCAGTCTCGGGTTATTTGTGTTTCCGAGCTTTTGAATTGTGTGCTCGTCTGCGGAGATTCCCATTATCTTATTCCTGGTTGTGTTCATCAGCAGAGCTGGCTGCCTGGCTGCAGACGTATTGCATAGGGCAACTTCAGTTACATTTCCCCTGCCTCTGCCCGGGAGAAAATCAGCAATATTTTGTTTTAATTGATGATGCTAAATCACAGCAGCTGAACGCTTGCATCCTTCTCACTCCCTGCGTGTCTCCTGCTGCCTGGTCAGCGTCGGTCCAGCGCTCCATTTTTAAATCAAATTATGCTTGTGATAATATTGTCTTGAGCTTACAGTTGCTGACATGGATATTGACAAAGGCTTAGCCAGTATTTTAATAAGAAAACAAAATACGGGAAATACTCTAGAGTTTCCAGGTGGATCATTAACAAGACGCCTTGGAGGGCTGAGACTGCCAGCCAGCACAGGGAATGCATCACAGTTCGTCATACAACTTAAACTTCTTTTGACATCTAGTTATGTCGAAATGTGACTGATCACCTAGGGGTCCAGGCTCCTGTGAGGGAAAAGTTCACTGACAGACAGCGAACGAAGCTGATCTTAAATGAGAATCAAGAGAAAGCAGCATTCCAGTGTCTGACAGTCTGCAGCTGCTACCTGGGTCTGCCTAACGAAGACGAGCCTGCTCTGCTGAACAGTTATATTAGCATCTGTATGCTTCTGTCTCATTATCACACATCTGCCCACCTTTATTCGAATGAAGCTTCTTCTGATCTGACAGCTCAGGCATTGTCAGTGAATAGATATTATGGGATCCGGGTACAGCAGCTTAGGGTGTTAGCTTTTATTTTCTAAAGACTGTTGTATGGTTTGACAGTATAATGCCACTGAGGTAAAGAAGATAATTAACATATTGGGCAGGCTCTAAACAAAGCTGAGACAGTTACACTGGCAAAAGTGCCACTGCTGGAGTGGTATTGTTTGCACTGGAGGAACATCAAAGGTTGCAAGATCTGCCTTGGGAAAGAGCAGGGGCACAGGTACGCCATGTCCCCCTCTGACGGATGTTTGGGTCTGTGGTTGATGCCCAGTAACTGCATGTCCTCCCATTGCCTCTGCTCAAAGTCTCCTGTCGTTCTGGGTCAGCTGTTCCCAGCATCTGAGAGGATGTGAAAATGGAGGTAGAGAGAAGGAGGACGAAGGTTCTCTCTCCTGAATTTATTTTTACCCTAAGCACTTGTGTGAGCTGCACACAGTGCCTGTTTGGATGGAGATTTAAGCCTCCTAAGTTGGAAATCACATGTGGGATTTTCTGGAAATGCCAAAAACGTATGACTGAGGTTTCATCATTTGGCTGCTCAGTAAAGGAGTAGAAAGACTTTCTTAGAAACAAACAAACAGGGAAATAGCATTCTGAGCTCCTGATGTAGATGAGCTTTGATGGTTAAAGAAAGGATGCTCATACTCTCTGCAGCTCTGAGAAATGAAATGGTCCTCAGTGTATTGCTTCACAGTTTGCTTTCTATCTGAATACTGGGCATGGTGGGCTGGAATAGCAGCTTGGTCCTGTGCTTCAGAGATGAAGCACTGTAGAAAATACACCTTTGTAAGCTGCCTTGCTGCTTGTTGTCATTTGGGAAAACTAGTGAGTGGGATGCATTGCTGCAAGAGCATCCCTGAACATCTCTGCTGGAGAACCACTGATGTTGTGAAGGGCCTCAGCGGTACCCCCAGGTGCCCCCAGTCACAAGCAGTGTGGTGGCCAGAGCCCAGACACTCATCTGACTCAAGTGAGTCCCTTGGTTAAAGCCACCAGTCTCTGCTGTTCCTGTGGCAGTGTGCTGAGAATTTAGCCCTAAATGTCTGTGTTAAGGACGTTCTTCATTTCATTCACGGCTTTTGTTTCAACGCTTTTCTCCTTTGTTCTTGAGAGCACGCAGGGTTTCCATGAGTTAATGTTGGAATTACTGCTTCTTTGCAACAGTGCAGTCAAAGTCATTTCAGCATCCGCGCCGATAACGTGAGCATGGCTCGTTCAGGTTGGCCCAGCTGCCCCACGCTCACAATTGCCACGTTTGAATACCAAATAAGAGATTCGTTTTTTTAAGAGGGAAAAAAAAAGATTGTCATTCGCTCTAAAAAGGCATCACAGACTGCCGACACTGTACAGAAAAGTAGGAGATGTTGACCTTTTTATTGTAAACTTTCTGTAGCGTTGCCCTCTCGCCGGCGCGCTCCCCCTCGCACACATGGACGCGCACACGCGCTCTTCAGCTCTATGTTATCTCAAATAATTACCCTGCGCTTCTGGCTGTCCCCAGTGACTGCTGCTGCTAAAAAAGCTACTCATTGTCGGTGAGTGAAGAGGGATTTCAAACCTGCTTCTTGTGGCCCAGCAACAGCTCTTAATTAACCACTCAGGTATTGAGCCGCCTCCTCGCCCGGCTCCATCCATATGGCAGAACATGTCCGCGGCGATAATCACTGAAGGAAATATTGTATCAAAAAAAAAGGGCTCGCTGAACAGAAAGCTCCTGCAAATTATTTTTAATGATTCTCCTCTCTGAGCCGGGCTGTTTGCTGCGCTGGGTAAGGGCTGGGGACGGGCTGTCCTTGCTGTCCTTGCTGTCCTTGCTGTCCTTGCAGCTCCGCCGGCCGGCTCCTGGCGGTGGCACGAGGTGGGTGCGCGGTGCCCAGCCTTTGTTCCTGCAGCACAGCTGGGTGCATGCCCACTTCCAACAGCGCCGTACCTTAAGGAAAAACTTGCAGGCTTTGCGCAGCCCCACGTTTTTTCTTTCTCCCTTTGGTTTACAAAAAAGAAAATAGCGATTAGAGTTTATAAATCTAATTAAAAATGAAGTTGCATTTACATTTTAAAACCTCGCGTACGCCAGCATACTGTGTCAAAAGATATTATGTATGATTTTACTTTGTGACAGAAACCATTACATTTAAAAATTCATTACAGCAAGGTTAGTTAGACACATGATGGATGCAGCTTTAATCCTGCCATATATTATTACAGTTAAAATGTAAATGATGAAAAATATTTTGTGCTTATCAGCGTTTATGTGGAAATGTGTTTTACAGTGATATATGGTGTTATATTTCTATTATTATGATGAGAAAGAATGAAATACCAAAAGACGAAGTGTTTATTAAAACATGGCTACTTGTGATAAAATATTCTTGTTGTACATGACTTTAAACATATTTACCGAGGGCATTTGTCCAAAACAACTGTGAAATGCGTTTGCTATGCAAATCATTCTTTGTAAATTTTTCTCCTCTCTGTTGTACTGACTGCAGCTTTCTAATAGCCTAATGTTAAAGTCATGTAAATATATTTTTATTATTTTTCATTTCAGTCACGGGGGACTGGCGCTGTTTACACACATGCCTGCGTTCGGATAGAGAGCGGTTACACAGAAAGACATCAAACAGGAAACTGATCCTAGCACAGCCCCGTGTTCCTTTGTACCTCCTCTTGTTTCAGCTCCTCAAGGCCCAGCCTGCAGCAGAGGAGCCAGCCCTTGGCCTTCCAGCACGTGTGGCCCCTGCAGCCTGTGTCCTGTGGACACCCCAGCACCCAACAGCTCACAGCAATCCAACAGCCTGCGCTCCCAATCCCTTCCGTTCCACTGCGCAGCCGTAAGCGAGGCACTGCTGGGCACCTTCACGGCCAGATGGTGTGGCCTCACGTCGGTACTGCCTCCATCATTTCCCATGGAAGGTGAGTTTCTAACTGTGCTTGTGCTTTAGGCAAGCCTTGTAAAGAAACATACGTGGCCTTCCCCCAACCTGAGGGCTAACAAGTTTGGAGGCCAGGCCTACATGCTGCGTGTCCTCGGGCCAGGCGGGCTGTTTAAGGGTTTGTTCTCAGCAGTGACCCCTCAGGAAGGGCTGCTGGTGCTGCTCCCCGAGGCACAAGCCAGCACGGCTCTGCCCAGAACAATGCAAAGGCCACAGGCGTCCCGCAGGAAGGCTGTGGCAGAAAAGAAAATACAGCACCAAGGCCCTGAAGCTCCGGAATGTGGCTGCCGTGCACGTGTTCCCATGTGTGCTCCGGCTGCTGGGCTGCCTGCATGCTTCAGGTGCAGCCCTGGCTGACTGTTGATGTATGCAGTGCTCAGTTGGAAGGTTCTGCCCAACACCCCGGTGTCACGGCTGTGCCCACGGCAATCCCGCTGCATGGTTCCTGGATGCACCCACTCCAGGTTTGTCCTGTTTGTTTTGTTGCTTTTTATGCAGCTTACGTTTAAGGAAATAATAGTTTCAGTAAATTAATTAAGTGGTAATTAAGGCATATTATTGCTGTTAATTCCTCCAGTTTGCACTGCTGTATCTTCAAGAGAAACTGATTTAAATTTGACGTGATACAGTAATTGGGCTGAGATTGCTTGTAGTTACGTGAAGCTGAGCCCATCTTCATCAGCTCAGTTTCTGAAAAAAAAATCCCCTAAGCAGCTCAGAGTATTTGTTTGTGATCAGGAGCTTTATGCCCTTCAGCCTGCAGTGCCTTTCGTTTGACACAAACAGAAGCGGAGACCTGGTGCTTGTAGTTCACCAAAGTGGCTATTTCCTTCTAACCTTCCTCTTGTAACAATGTTTATTCAGTTATCAGGGAAGAAATATCATTTGTCCGTGCAGCTACAATTACCCAATTTGTTGTATAAATTATTACTTTTTTTCTCATCTCATGTTGATGACAGAATCATTTAATAGACTTTCAGTTGCTCAAGCTTGAAAATTGGTTCCACATTCCCCCTTTTTAGTTTTCCTCCCTAGGGTGAGTGCAACGTGGCCTAAATGCCATTCCCAGCTCCCCTTCCCCCTTCTTTTCTTTAAACATCTGCTTGTATGAGGATGTTGTTGTGTACATTAGCGCTGTGCAGTTTAGCACCTTTAGGACTACCTTTGGCTCTCAGCTTCCTTGTTTCCTGGGCCAACCATAATATATCAGGAACCGTGGATATTTCCTATCTCAGCACTCTCCATAACTCTTTTGCTCAGCTGTCTGAAGCTGTTTTCTTTAGGAAGTCCAAAGTGAGGGGGCCTGCTTGACCTGGCATCGGTCCTATTTATAAGAATAAACCTTCTTCCCTGTACACCTTTGGAGCTTTGTCGTGAAGGGGTCACATCCGTTTAAATTAACAGCGATAGCGCCTGTGACGGAACACGGCCACGTAACCTTTATTGTCCCGTCCTACCCTTTTGTTTGAAGTTATAAAACCTACTCAGCTGATTTTCTTCAAAGCTAAGGCTACAGGATCTGCAGCCGTGTCTCTGCCACATAATTAATTAGGAAGGAAAAAAACAGCTACTGTGCGCGCTGTATTTTTGCAAGATGTTTATCTGTTTATTTAAAGCCAGCATTCGCTTTTTTGCTCTCGAATTTTTGCTCTCCTGCTCTCACCACTGAAATAAATGCCAGTCAGGCTCATTTGCTTAGGACAGGAGTTCCCATGTGGCGGTGGGAAGGGGCAATGCACGGAGCAATCATCTCATTTCCAGCCCACGGTCTGAGGCTTTGGCTCAGAAGCAGTGCCACCTCCACCTCTGTGGCGCTGAGATGTCACTCCTACAGTCTGCCCTCTCACAAGTCAGCCTGGGTGCCTGTGCCGTGTGTTTATTTTTTCCTTATTTATTTTTACGTCTAAGAATATTCGCTGAAAGCAGGATTATCGCTTTGTAGACCACCAGCAGCTGTTGAAAAGCAGGGCATAAAAGTTTGTTTATGCCTTTAATAACCCTCTTAATGATGGAGCAAGCACATTATTCATAATAAAATAGCCTGGCATAATCTTGCTTCAGTGTGCGGTGGGAGGGAATTAAGAAACATCTGCTATGCCATAAAATAACATTATATATACCATTTACATTAGAAACATGTGTCTACACATATGTATATTATATACATATATTTAGAATGTCTCAGTGGAACTCGTCTTTTTAATTACATTTAGAAAACAATGAAATGGTTAAATGATGGTATTTTTACTTCTGAATCTCAGCTTTATGCAGTGTTTGTGGGTACGGCTGCTTATGATGACAAGGGACAGAGCGTCAGAGTGCACCTGAAGACACACGAGGGCAGATGTTCAAGCACTGAAATCGGGGTTCAGTTTCTGTTTCTAGCCTCCAAATAACTGACCTGATTTTCTGAAGTACAAAGCGTTCGTGGGCTCTTGATTTTATGAGCGTTGGTTGCTCAGCAACTCTACAAATCAGGCCACTATTTCAGCGCCTAAATGCAGATTTTATTTACAACAACAGCATCCGAATCCACAGCTTTCCTCGATGTGAATTATTTGCATTACTCCCGTGCTGAGCACGAGAGCTTACCATGCTGGTGCTGCACTCAGCAGGAGGGTGGCTGCCTCTGCTCTGACAAACCTGGGGCAAAAAGGGACAAAATGGGGATCCTGAAGCCACCAGCGGGGCAGCGCTCTGCCCTGGCAGTGGCCATGCCTTGTGGCTCCCAACCAGCACGGCATGTAAACATGTCTTTAAATTTAGGCGTGTGAGACGTAAGTGGAACTACTTGCATCTTAAAATTAAATACATGTTTCACTAGATCAGGCCAGATGGTTTTACATGCTCAAAAGTGACATTTACAAGGTCACATAGGAAGTGTTTGACAGAGCCAGGAACTGAAACCAGATCTCCCAAGTGCCAACCCAGTGCCTTAATTTTGCTCGCATCCATTTTTTCTTCCCGCTGGCATGTTTCTCCTCAGCCAAACAAGGAAAAAATGAATCCAGTAAGTAGACAATTAAGTTGTTGTTCTTATTTGGAGGCGCTGGGAACGCAAATGCCACTGTTTGAAAGATTAGTGCTTTCATTTTTTCAGCAAGGCATATGTTTTCATAGGCTTTTTCTTTTTTTAATTTTGTCTCTTCTATCTTACAAGAATGTAAGAAATCTGTTTTCATTTTGTAGGTGGCCCACCAAATAGAAGTTATAAGTTAATAAAATTTCTATGCAGATTTATGTGAACTGGATGAACTCTCCCAGTATCTGAATGTTAATCTGTTGGAAAATAGCTGCTGTGGTACTGGAACAGCTCAACATCATACAGCAGGGCACACTCACAGCAGCACTCCGATGACATTTTCCCTACAAATGCCAAAGTAAACATGAGAGACTACTGTGGGGGAAAATCAGTGAACTACTGGAAAGGCAACTGTGGTGAATTTAAGGCAGTTGCCTTAGTTTCACCTAAATCTCTGCTTCTATTAATGTATGTATTTTCCTTGGTAGACGTATCCGTGCAGATTTTCTTCAATGCATTTGATTTAGTCTGTCTCACTTTGCCTCTGTTCTTGGGATGGACGTAACTCTTTGCAGGCTCCCATTCTGCCTCAGTTTTTAATGAGTCCTCAACCTCCCTGTCCTGTTCCAGCTGAAATGCAGACCATGAGAGAGTACTCCAGGGGAAGTGCTGGATACCCCAAGCATGAAAAGGAGGGGAGCAACAGCCTCGCATTCTCACAGGACCCTCCTACTGCACCAGCAAACTGTATAAAGGTAAAAGGAGCAGGGGTGGGGGTAGGTTTTTCATCTCGACTGGCCAGCCTCTATTTCACCAGGTGTAGGGTATAAAGGACTTGCGAGGGTGGAGTTTGTGCATCTGTGACCAGTTTAGAAAAACCCTCCGAAATTGCTGTAATTTAAGACATATTTAAATTGTACTCTGGATGGCAAGGATGGGACTTGGGGAGTGAGAGCAGTAATCTCTGACAGTGGGCCAGTAATGTATACTGAGATGCCTTGGGCTCCCTCAGCCACCTGATTCCTGGGCTGGGGTCAGCCCATACCACCTGTGATTGCTTTGGGGTGGAGAGTTGTTAGCTGAAGCAGTGCCCAGACTTAGGCACGCCTTTTGCTGTGGGTGGCACAGGTAGGCCCTGGCCTGGGTCCTCCTGAAGGTGCTCAGTGCAGCTGAACCCATTGCACAGGGCTTCTCAACCCCAGAGAAAATCCTATTTTCCTGGGAAGTATTTTCTCTATCTGATTAATAACTTTAAAACATTTAATAGACATTTGACTTGCTTGACTCAGAGCTATCAAACAAATGGAAACTTTGCATTTTCCCACAGAAGATGCCCTCTGGTTTGTTTGGCTGCTTCCCACTGCTGTGCCAATCCACTGGCATGAACTTTAAGGATCCCTGCAAATAACTCTTATGCTAAACAGCATAACACAGCTGACTTTCAAGGAGCACTTAACATCAGCTTAATCGCTCAGGACCATACCAGTACCTACACAGTCTTCTGTCAGAAGGGCAGGCATCTATTCATAAGGTATGTATCCCTGCTTGTACTTTTTTAATCGCTGCCTTATTTTAGATTGGTTGTATAAGGATCAGACCAAGCGTCTTGTTTAGGAAGGACATTTTTCCTTCTCCATCAGGATGCACTTAGGAGAGAGACCACAAAAGAAAATCTCCATACCACTGCCCCCATATCTCAGGTTCCTGGCTTTGACTTCAGCAGCTCTCATTAACTGAGTCAGAGCCGGTATCTTGCTTTGGCTTGATGGATAAAAATCCTTGATGGATTTTTATTTCATCCATTACTTTTTGTTATTCCTTTTTAAGGCCATAGACATTTTTTATATCCACAGCATCCTGGGGTACTGAGTTCCACAGTTCAACTATGTGTTGTGTGGATGCCTACTAGAGTTCTTAAATCCTTGTTCCTAATAGTTTTTTCCATCATCTTACCAACTTCTGTTGCATCCACTTATCACACTCTGCACTTTCCTCAGGAAATAAAATCATCCTGTATTTAGGTGCTTCTCAGAAACAGTCGTTTCTTTAAAGCATACCAAATCTTGATTGAGAAACTGATGAAAAATTATATTTGGGGCTTAATTGCTTACCTTTGTTGCTGCCTTTGATGATGCACAGAAATAGCTTGAGAAGTACCATTAAAAACAGGAATCCAAAGAACAGAATCAACTCCAATTTCCTCCGTAAAGTAACGGACTGGGACAAAGACAAAGGCATCAGCATCTGCCCAGCTTCCCCACGTGGCTGTGGGGCTTTGGGGAACCCATCCTTTCCCTTCTCTTTCAGGGAATCTGCTCTTCCCATCTGGTAGACCGAATTGAAGACACTAAGTATTGGTTGGAGGAATTCTTAGGTATAAAATCAGTGTCTAAACGTGTCTAACAAGAGTTTAAATTGCAAACATTAACAATATTAATGCACTTAATTTTATCTAGTCCTAGCCAGCTCATTTTCTGGGAGGTTTCTTGGTTTGTGTGTACTGGCACTGGAGAACTGGAAAGCAAAGACCCACATAGCACCCATCGCAGCTTATTACAGAGGGTAAACAGCCAGTGTTATTAGTAGATGAGGAAAGGTAGATCAATATAAAGAAATACTGCTCTCATTCACTATTCCCTTTGTCACTGCCAGGCCTCAGAATTTTTCAGTTCATTGATGTCAGTAAGGATTTACGTGCCTGCCCAAGAAGCTGGTGCCAGATTATTCCCAGGCTGCAGCAGATCCTGATCAGCATGTAAGCTGGCTTGGGCAGCTGCATAAGGAAACAAAATTTAAGATCACAGCAACCTAAAATACTGCTCGACTTTATAACATCAACATTGGTATCAGGAAACATGGCAACAAAAGTGACCAAAAAGCATCTCCTTTTGCTGTAATGCTTAGCGAATATATCAGGCTGGTTAGACAGAGGGCATGTAATGTTTTTCATTAGCTGAATGAGCACCTAGCTCAAGCCAAGTCTGAAGGCTTTTGGAAACACTTTATTCACAGGGGGCAGCTTGGGGGTTAAACAATGTTTAGCATATTCCCTTCCCTACATTATTTCACGTGCAGAGCTGCTTCCTCTTTGACAGCATCAGGAGCCTATCCTTACATACCCTAATGGTCTCATGCCTTCAGCACGCTGTGGCTTACACCCGCATACCTCCTTGTTGCTGTTATCACCAATGGTTTCCTCAATGGAAATAATCATGCACATTACAACTGTTGCCAGAACCCTCTGGCACCAGAATCACTCTCGGAAGGAAAGCCTGAAGGCATGCGAGGGCCTGAGCAGCTGTAGCTGCAGTGAGGTAGGTCAGCAGTACTACATGGGAAACCATGCAAGAGGAAAGCTACATGCTGCCTTAGTGTTTAACAACAGCCAGAGTTTGGGGTCTGATTCTGCTGGGGTTTCAGAATGAAACCTGAATGCTGGCCTGTGCAAATTCCTCTGTTCACGGTTTCATGTCCATACGCACACACCGACAATCCATCATGAGGTCCCATCGCTGCATCTGTGTGCCTTCGTGGAGACTGCAAAGGTTTTGCATGAGTTCAAATACGAAAAAAAAGTCATTTTTCACACATTCTAATTTCAGATATGACTGTAAGTGTTCTAAGCCTCTTTGTATATTTAAACATTTTTAGTGAGTTAAAAAACAAACAAACTATATCTGTTACATTTCTGCAGTTAGATCATGTAACTTGACTGCCTGACAAAGCATGAGCAGTATGAGGTCCTTTATGGGTCACAGCTGAGCCAGATTTTACGCTTAAGAATTTCCTCATTTTGGACCAGAAGTAAAAAAAAAAATCTTCTTCTGGGCAACACCCATGAGCCCACGTCTGGAAAAAAGAAGTGAAATATGAGCAGAAAGCCCCCAAATAGCCTGGCTGTCGCTCAGACAAAGCAGAAGAAAAGTAAAATCACAGCTCTGTTCTTTGGCTGTGGGGCCACTTGTCCCACCCCAAAAGCGGGCGAAGAAGCAAAACCCCCCGACAGCAGCCAGGGAGGTGTTGAGAAGGCCATCCCAAGGGACTTGGGGACAGTGCTTGTCCCCACGGGGCTTGGAGCAGAGGGACCTCACAG